CAGGAATGAGTAACAAAACAAAACAAGCCCAACCAACCAACCAAAAATCCACACAACAACAAAAAAAAACCAGCAAAAAGGAGGAATCCTTATAAGAACTGGAAGATTTCCATAGAGAAGGTATGGAAACCATGCTACTTTGAAAGCTGAAAACAAAGATGATGCAATAGATGCCTACTTGACCACAAGCTTAAAGAAACAATGAAATTTGGCATTTTATTATCAATGGGTAATTAACCCATGAAATTCACTGATATAATGTGTTCCTGAAACAAGAGGCTAGAAAATTGCAAAAGGCACTAATGCTGATACTCATCGTTGGAATATATCACAATATACTCCCCTAAGACATAATTATCTGAGAAATATATACCTTCAAGTTCCAAAACCAAGAGATAATCATTAACTGCCTAGAATAAACTTTCCTTGGGAGAGTTAGTAACTGATTTTTCCTCAGAAATGAGTGCTGTACCCTTCTTCCAGTCATTTTAGCTTAAAAATGGAAACACTAAATCATATTAATGAGATATACACACTATCATGAAAGACAGCAAAAAAGACAAAGACAAAAAATCTGAGCATAACACAGTCGCTGAAAATTGATTGTGACAATTTATAAACAGACAAAGATTTAAAAGAAGATTCTGATTCTTCTTATATTATTGCAATTTCTGGGTACATCCAGTTATTTCAGTGAAGTTATATGGAGGGACGAGGGCATACTCAAGACTACAACTGGCAAAAACACACTAAGTCTCCCCTCTGCTCTGTTCTCTGATAATGAATTTTAGTGCCTAAGCTGCTCAGCATTGTTTAAGTTGTCACCTACGTATGTATCACAAATAACCACATACTGCATGCCTGATGCATAACTGGTAAATATTTATATTGCAGCAAAGGAATTTATTTACCAGACTACTCCATCACTTCTGTTGCTTATTCTGTGTTTGTTTTCTTCTCACTCATAACGTGACCACAGAAGATGATGTTAAAAAGCTGTATTCCTTCCACATTACTTATTAGCTACATCTGTCATGCACAGTCCCATCCAACTGAGATTTTTATTTCACACTGGCTCCAAGGTTTCAAGATGTTGCGTTAACATAACTATGTTCTGGATGTTTCTAGCTTTGATATTTAAAAAGATAATTGTGAGACTTGCTATATTTAGCAGATGCTTGCACCAGTGAAAAGGGCAGAAGAGCTGAAGTCAGTTTGAGGAATTAAAGTGTATGCACTTACAGCATCAAGTGAGTATTTACATATGAGTCATATTACATATGAGTCAGGGAATAACATCTGCAAGTTCAGGACTTCTTTTTTCATCCCTCTTTTGCTAGATTAATAAAATCCTGCAACAACAAAAGTTTGCTTTTCAAGATATGATGGTGCTGTTGCAAACGTGTGTCTAGTTTTACATTTTAATCCATTGATTGCAAAATTATTTTATTCCAGACACTCAGGGAGTGTAGTTGTTTGGTAGGGCTACGAGGAAAATGAAAGTCCAAATTTCACCATGATTTGACATTGAAACTTTTCATCAATGTTGTTTTTCTCAAGCAATTAATTTCATTTTGACTTCTAGACATTTCTTTCTATATTTTCAAAGTTAAAAATGGAAACAAAAACCTAATTTCAACAGTAAAACTCAGAACAGTTTTAACGATGACCCAAGCATATAATTCAGGTGTTTTTAAAATGATCTTCCTTTCCACAGACAAACCATCCCTCTCCTCCAATACTGGTTCTGTTTCTTAAGGAAGTTCAGAAACATGGATGTAGCTTTGAAAGCAGTTCAATTTTGATAGCACTGCTGATATGGCTACCAAATTTTCTACTTGTTCCCACCTACCTAAATATATCTTTAATTGAAGAGCACTTGACTTCAACCCTGGTATCTTTGCACTCACAACAAAGGTTCATTAGGAGTCAACTGCATTATAAGGAGCTGCCTACCTAAGGAGGGGCTGCAGAAGTGTTCTGGAATGCTCTGTCAGTTTAACCTGTGTCCTCAGGGGAGCATAAGACTGTACTTGCAGAGAGGTGACATGATCTAACAGATAATACTCATTTTCATCTTCATATGGGTTTTTTATATTTTGTTTCTTCACTAGTCAGTGCCTATCTTTTCTCTTTCTAATTCTCAGGACAGCTAAAATAAACAGTCCTTTTCTTACTGTAAGCTTTTGCTTACATGTGAGAACTTACTTTAACATTTTTTAACATCTTAATAATTGTGTCTTAAGAAATCAACCCCTAGAACATAAAAAAGTCAAGTGCACAGAAAGGTAGTAAACCAGATTAGATTAGGGTTACAAATGCTTAGAAAACTTCTTACATACTTCACTTATCTAATTAAAATGGAGTAATTCTGGAGTGGAGTGGGTGACCACAGAGCAGGATGCAAAACAACAAAGCATATGGAATTTGGGTTTAGGTTATACATTTGTTTTAATGCAATTATATTCCTGAGAATTCAGCAGCAGTAGGGAGAGGTAGAGGGGAGAGAAATAAAAGGGACAGACTAAATACTACTTGTGGTTATCAGTTTGAGGTGTCCATTTAATAAGTGCTAAGATCAGTAATATGTCAATTGAATCTTCATCTAAACCATTAATCAAGTAGCCAAACAAAAGCTCCTTTGTGTTTCTAAGTCTCGCACAGAAAAATCTCGAGTCTAGTGTTTGGTTTAATTCCCTAAGCTTTGCCTGGGACATCAGCAAACAGTCTTAGTTACTCCAATGGGAATCACAAAGACAGAACATTTCACAGTGTTCAACATATAACTTTGCCAACTTTGGGCTATCATGAGACCTACTTTCCCCCCCTCAGGATTACCATCTGTGCCTGCAATAAAACAGAAAAGTATTTCCCTCAGCAGTTTTGCTCTCTATATATCAATAGTGAATGCAAATATTAGCATTTGGCTGCATAACTTGTTACTTATTTCCCTGGCTTGTGCTGCACTCAGATTGCAAGACAGACAGTTATGCTTTCGAGACCTAATGTTCATACCTGCAGCAATATATGGACAAAAACTTCTTAAGTATAAATGGCACCAGCCAAAGTGAAGCTGCTACCAAAAATCAAACACGTACATATAAAAAAAACTACTAACGAAAATTTGTTGGGAAGTACGTAATACCCATTTTTCCTTAGAAGGGATCTAAGTCAGAGGCAGCTACAAACATTGTGGGATAGAAAGGGAAAAGAAAAGGAAAGAAGCCTTGGAGAATTGTATCAAAGGAAGGAAAGGAAGGGAAGTGGAGAGAGTATGCATGAAACTGAGGTTTTTTAAAAGGAGTATGTAAAAAAAGTGTTCGGAGAAGCAAATTCTATTTTCCTGGTCTCTATCTGAACTTTCTACTCTGTGGCATCTGCACAGGGCCTGTTGCATCTTCTTTACTCTTCCCCTCCTTC